CCAACTGGAGACTTGCTTGTCACATGAGACCCCTGCTCCACCTCAACCTGAGGACCCTCACTTCTTTGCGCGAGCGTGCGACAGGCGCAACCTGGGGGGACGCAACATCCAGCAGCCCTCGCCGGCACCACCAGCCCCGGGACCAGGAAACCACGAGGACGACACAGACACAGCGGCGATGGTGCAGACGATCCAGGCCTTCCTTAGGCGCCCTGGATCGACGGGGACCACCGGCACACCCCGCAACCCAGAAGACGTGGCCCCACACCCACCGCTGCAGCCGAACGAGGCGGCGATGACAACGCACTACGGGGCTCAGCCGACCATCGAAGTGCACTCCACCGCCACAACAATCCCAGCAAGCAACAATACCACCATGCAACTACAGGGGGGACAACACGCAGCTGATGCCACAAACCCTCCCGCTGCCACCCCCGGGGCCTCCTCCACAGAGATAGTCCCGCAGTGGCAAAAAGTTGAGAGGCACATTCTGGCAATTAGGCGTTTGGCTGAGCACCTCCCTGAGGGGGGAACGATCGTCGCGGTCGCCGACTGCGCTCTTGCTGACTGCTGACCTGCTACTAGATAGCGAAGCAGAGAGACACATGGACATGTGCATGGAAGAGCTCTTAGGTCTGAGCCATGGCACCGGGGGACCAAGGGCCGCGAAGCGGCCGAGGAAAACCCTTACAGCGCGGCAGGCGATCTGCAGGCTTTCCGAGCTGGCCAGGTCACAGCTCACTGAGCGGGGAACCATCGTGGACATCGCTGACGTGACGCCGAGCCTCGACGCCATTGTGCGTTGGCTACAGCGAATCACGGGGGGCCCCCTCAGCGACACCAACATGCCGGACCTCATGGCAGCGCTACGTCAAGTGCTTCAAGCCATAGGGGGAGGAGCAACCACGGCGGACCACTGGAGAAGCTTGCTCAACATTGGAGACAGTCTTCGTTCTCTCTTCGAGATCACGGAGGGGGACAGAGGCGAAGGCCCTCCTCGGTTGATGTCCAGCACCATGGGACCGGGGGACTACGCCGCCGTCTTCGAGCAGCTCATTGCCTCTTTCACAGAATGGGGAAATGACGACCAGCTGGCGTTACAAGCAGACCTCCTCAACGTGTCGGCTATCCTGCACGGGCAAGCAGCAGACTCTGCTGCGAACGAACGACCAGTACAGGAGAACAGCGCATCACAAAGCAGCAGGCCCCGCGACCAAGACTGGTGGCTTCACGACCGACACCATGGCCTGGGGGATAGTGCCACAACAAACGCTGACCCCAACCTCGCGGACATGGATGAAGATAGCGGGGGAGCAAGCTCCCACAACGAAGCAGAGTCTGACGCATCCCACCGTCGACGTCGCATGCTCGCGGAGCACATCCACGAGTACTTCTGATACCCATGAGCGGGGAAAGACAGTTTTGATGCAGGGGGAAGCCTACTCATGTTGATTTCCTGCTCTAGGTCTGTTTTCTGTTCATGCTTTTATGTCTGAAGCTTAGGCGGGGTTCAGCTGCTTCCAACTTTCCTCTGCCGAGACCACTGACCTAGGAGGGGAAGGAATGACCTCACCGATTGTACCCCGAGATTCAGACTTCGGGTTTCTTTGACTTCAGGTTGCTTCGGAGGGACTTGCTTGGCTGCCTTGCTTTCGGGGGAATCAGTTGGGTCGTTACAGGCTCCTTCTCTTCACTCCCTCCTCAATAACACCGAGGGGGACACATCGTGGGAACCAACTACTGCTTCTACATTCCCATGTCTGTCATTGTGTGTGCTGTCTTTTTCCAGTGAGGGGGAGCCCACGAGCTGTCCACAACGAGTAGCAGTCTCCTGCAAACTTGCCCGGCTAGTAGAACAGGGGGATGACCGTTCGTAGTGACCATGCGAGTGGCTGTCTCAGCATGTCCGGCAAGTTGAACAGGGGGACGACCTTTCGTAGTGCACCCACAAGATGCCGATGCTCGGCAGACGAAAGCTGCTGTGGTGTTACTCTGGCTTGGGCCTTAGACCTTGCAGTGGTGATTTTTTCTCCTCAGACCGAGCATCGATGTCTTTTACCGACACCCCCACAAGGCCCCCAAACAGGGGCGCGCCATCCGGCGCGGGGAGCTTTACCTGCTCCCTTGACCCCGGAGAAGAAGAAGAAGAGAGAGAACTACGAGTGACCTTGCCCCTTGCACAACCTGGGGGAACGGAGGGGGACACACAGCCTATCCCACGTGGCAGCTTGGCTGCGAAGCTTCTGCGAGTCGCGCAAAAAGCTGACAGTGGAGACGACCGGCGCAGCTACTGAGCGGGGCGACCCCACCGATGGCATCCAGGGCTGCGACGACCTGGAGGGGACCTAAGCGCCAACGCAAGTCCTGAGTGAGTGTCACCAACGAAAACCCGAAGCCGGGGGAGAAAGTCTGAGTTGTTTGTACTGCCGTAAGCTGAAGTTTTGTTTGGTCCCTTGGGTTTCTCTTCACGGCACGGCGCTCAGTTCAAGAAGGCAGAGTACAGTTGTACCATACCAGTCCTGCTGTAGATGCATGTCTTGAGGCGGGGGAGTACAGTATGAAGCCAAGTCTGCTGTCACATACATGCATGACTCGTTTACCTTGCCGTGTTGCGGGGGATTGAGTGCGACTCTATTTGCTTACGATGTGTTGGGGGGACTGCTGCACCCAAACCATTCCCAGCAGGGGGATTGAGTGCGACTCTATTTGCTTACGATGTGTTGGGGGGTCTGCTGCACTCAAACTCCTGCGCTTTTGTTCCTTTTACAGCGGAGCCCTGGAGAGAAAATCTCCCCAATGGGCAGGGACACCCGCCAATGATCCGCGGGGGTGCGCGCGCGCGCACGGCGGGGCAGCCTGGACGCTGCTGCTCCGTCACGCCCCGTAGAGAGAGAGAGAGAGAGAGAGTAGTTCGGCTGCTCCCGCCCCATGCCCAAAGCAAAGCAAAGAGAGAACTACTTGGGCATGATGCCCGGGGGACTTGACCGTCCCCCATGCCCAGGAGAGAGAGAGCGAGAGAGAGAGAACTACTTGACCCGCCCAACGCCAAGCAGACCGCCAACCACAGGCCTTGCCTCGACACGGGGGCTCACCCCCAGGCCCTGTGAAAGAAAAGAGAGACCGGGAGAGAGAGAGTCATTGTACCATATCTTTTACCGCACCGTGTGGTGCGGGGAGCCTCGACAGTTCCCTTAACCCCGGAGAACAGAACAGAACAGAACAGAGTCAGTAGAGCACTATAAATCGGCCTGCTTCGAGGGACACACCGACAGCGGCCTGGGCCGACAAGGACCCAATTCAATGGCTGAACGGAGACAAGCAAGCAAGCAAGAGAGAGAGAGAGAGAGAGAGATGTCCCGTAGCCATTTTGGCTCAAGGCCGTGAGTGGTTCAAGGTCCGAGCCCCGTAAAA